AGGGTCAGAGGGAGAAGCAGACTCCCTGCCGAGCAGGGAGCCCGATGCGGGACTCGATCCAGAGACTCCAGGATCATGATCTGAGCCAAAGGCAGTCGCTTAACCAACTGAGCCACCCAGGCGCCCTCTTTTGAATTAGTTTTTATATTTTCTTTGGGTAAATACCCAGTAGTGGAATTACTGGATATGATATTTCCACTTTTAATTTTTTGAGGAACCGCCATACTGTTTTCGAGAGTGGCTGTACCAATTTGCATTCCCACCAACAGTGCACGAGGATTCCTTTTTCTCTCCATCCTTACCAACCCCTGTTATTTCTTGTGTTTTTGATACTAACCATTCTGACAGGTGTAAGGTGATCTCTTGTTGTAGTTGATTTGCATTTTCCTGATGATTAGTGATGTTGGGCATCTTTTCATATGTCTGTTGGCCATCTGTATGTCTTCTTTGGGAAAATGTCTGTTTAGGTCCTTTGCCTATTTTTTAAATCATATTGTTTGTTTTTTTGGTGTTGAGTTGTACAAGTTCTTTACGTATTTTGGATATTAACCCCTTATAGGATATATAATTTGCAAATATCTTCTCCCATTCAGTAGATTGCCTTCTTGTTTTGTTGATGATTTCTCTCACTGTGCAAAAGCTTTTTATTTTGAAGTAGTCCAATAGTTTATTTTTGCTTTTGTTTCCCTTGCTTTAGGAGACATCTAGAAAAATGTTGCTTTGGCTGATGGCAGAGAAATTACTGTCTCTGTTCTCTTCTAAGATTTTTATGGTTTTAGGTCTCAAATTTAGGTTTTTAATCCATTTTGAGTTTATTTTTGTTCGTGGTGGTAGAAAGTGGTCCAGTTTCATTCTTGTGCATGTGACTGTCCAGTTTTCCCAGCACCATTTATTGAGCAGACTGTCTATTCCCCATTTTATATTCTTGCCTCCTTTGACATAGATTAATTGGCTGTATAAGCATGGGTTTATTTCTGAATTCTCTATTCTGTGTTGTTGGAATTTTTTTTTTTTTTATGTCCTGTGCCCAACATGGGACTTGAACTTATGACACTGAAATCAAGAGTCATATGCTCTACCAACTGAGCCAGCCAGGCGCCTCTTATTTCTGGGTTCTCTGTTCTGTTCCACTGATCAATGTGTCTTTTTCTGTGCCAGCACTGTATACTGTTTTGATCACTACACCTTTGTAGTGTATCTTGAAATCTGGAATTGTGATACTTTCAGCTTTGTTTTTCTTTCTCAAGATTGCTTTGGCTGCTTGGGATCTTTTGTGGTTCCATACAAATTTTAGTGTTATTTCTTTCAGTTCTTTGAAAAATGCTGTTGATATTTTGGTAGGGATTGCAATGCTTGGCCTTTTTTAAATTGAAGTAAAACATATATATGGGAAAGTTAATAGATTTTAACTATATAGCTCAATGAATGCTCATTTAATTTTGACCATTGACAGGGGACCTCGTGATAGTTCTCCGTGTCACTTTTCTGTCCTAGTTTCAGTTCTTGGACTGGCTGCAATCTAGGAAAGAGATTCAACAGTGGACTGTTTAAGTTTATATTTATATTTATCCATTAGTAATAAGTGAAACAAAATTAATGTGAGCTTTGGGGGTCAATTTAAATGCAGTGTTTGAAAGAATCTCTCCCTGGACAGGAAAAAAAAAATCGATGGTTCATATGTTAGAATTCTGGCAATGTAGGCATTATCCATAATATTGTCAAACTCTATTAGTGGGAGATATAAAGAGTGAAAAGACTTGAAATATAGGAGAATTGGGATGGCTAGTGACTCTCTGAACCAGATAGAAGACCAAAACCCAGAATAACACATATCAAAACCTTACTAAATCTGAGGACCTATTGGTAATAGAAATATGGTTTATTACTTGTTGATGACTTCCAGGTGGAGCCCTTTCTGCAGTTAATTGCATCACTCGAATATGTGTCAGTTCCAAGCAAATAGTCTGGTGGAAATTCAGAAGCATGAAGTGTTTTTCTTTCTTAAGTTACTTTCAGCAACTTGCCATGTACATAGCTGATGAACTTGTTTTGTTTTGAAGTAAGGAAATAATTCAGTTTGAGGCACTAAATCTTTATTGGTCTTTTTGTGGGAAGAACAAATTTAGGAGCTCTGGTTTTTCTCTGGCTCAAGGTTTTGTAGTAAAGATGATTTGAAGGCAGGCTTAGAACCCAGACCAGCCCTTGTAAGCCTCCCTGTCTTTGCCTGCTTCAGCTGCAGCAGTACCAATACTACAGTGCAGGCCTGCTCTCCACATACGACCCTTTCTATGAGCAACAACGGCACCTACTTGGACCCAAAAAAAAGAAATTCAAGGAGGAAAAGAAACTTAAAGGTGAGCATACCGACCTGCCTTCCATATTTACTCATTCTTAGTTTCAGGGTTTTGCGTAGCCTATTGGTACATTTGGGCTTTGAACATAATCCATGTAGTAGAAACTTGCTTTATCTGAAAAACCCTAGTCTCCCCTATCTAGGTAATAAGTATTGTTAACCTTATTTCGTATTTGGTTAATGATCTTTTCTAGAATTATAAAGGCATAAGGACTATGGATTCCTAGTCAAAGGTTTAAGCTAATTAGTTTATTCCTTTTTTCTTCTACACACTCTTCCAAATGTTGATAATCTGGGAGAGGCAGAAGTCGGTTATGCACAGGGAAGTGTGAAGAGCAACCTGAAGTGGTGGGAATAAGTCATCATTGTTGCTGTATGTGGAACTTTTAAATAGATCACCTCTTGATAATCTTGTGTAGTGTTTGTTTGCATGTTTGCCAGGAAGTGTGTTTTCCTCCCTTACTGAGCTCTAAGCAGCTGGAAATCAGGAAGGAAGTAGGAAGGGAAAGTTTTAAGCTATCTGTACAAGGCAGATTTTATTCCCCTGAAGGTATGAACTCTACTCAGAAATTCTTTTCAGCCTTCTTCCCTTTCTCCCACATCCACTAGTTTATCTCTTCCACACTCGCACCCCCAAATTAGTTTTTTATTCCATGTATGATTTTCTCTTCACAGGTCGTAATGTCCTATCGGCGCATTTTTTTCTTTCTTTGTTATTTCTCTTTAATCACCTTAACATTGCCACCAAGTAGAAATGTTTCCTTCCTCATGGCCATTATTTGAGTTCATGGTACTTTGTACGTCTCCCTTCCTGTTGTTGGGTTCAACAGAAATTCAGTTTTTAGATCTTATTCTGTGTTTCTCTTTCATGTAAACATAAGGAGTATCCAAGATAGTGAGATCTTCCTCCTGGAATGTTCATAGGCCTGAATAGATGAAGAGATAAACATTGCCAGCCTTAGGTGGAATGAGGAAAGAACCTTGAATTGTCTTAAAGTGATGAGGTTGGTTGTGGCAATATTCTGTGGAAGGGCAGAAATGCAAGGTTCTCAGTGTCTGTTTCCTTTGCAGCCAAGTTGAAAAAAGTGAAGAAAAAAAGGCGAAGGGATGAAGAACTTTCCTCTGAAGAATCTCCTCGTTGCCACCACCATCAGACCAAAGTTTTTGCCAAGTTCTCTCATGATGCACCTCCTCCTGGCACCAAGAAGAAGCACTTATCCATTGAGCAACTTAATGCTCGTCGCAGGAAAGTATGGCTCAGCATTGTGAAAAAGGAACTACCAAAGGTATGTGAGTGCCTCCAGCATAGGAGATGGCAAGAATATTTTGTCTCCCTGCCCTCTAAAGAGGAGTTGTGAGACCTAGGTACCTTCACAGTGTTCAGAAAGAAAACTGATCTCTTGGAATTAAAAACGTGTTGATGAGTACTCTTGTCAATCAACTGTTTTTCTAGATTTTGATCAGAATTCACAAGACAGTTGTTGAATGATGTTCCTTGTCTAAAAAATGGAGGGAAACATCTTTGAGAAAGGAAAGCAGTTTTCTTACTTAGAGCAGTAGAGATCTGACAGCAAATTAATAGGTGATAATAGAGGAAATTAAAATGAAATTGTAGAGTTAATGTTTCTTGGAGAATCTATAAATATTTGGATGTTACTGAGTAATCACAGGCATTGGAAAAAAATGTGAATGATGCAAGGGAAAGATGTATAAGCATTCTTTTTGCTCTTTTAATTTGTTTGGTTTTGATAACATTTTATTTTGATATAATTTCAAATTTGAAAGTTTCAGGAATTGTGTGAGGAGTGTCCATATACCCTTTACTCAGTTACTCACCAGTTGTTTGCATTTTACTTACTTAATTGCCTTATAAATTGTATGCAATCCTAATAGAAAAATGAACAGGATATTTTCTGATTTTAGAAAAGTTGATACTAGGGGCTCCTGGGTGGCTCAGTCATTAAGCGTCTGCCTTTGGTTTAGGTCAGGATCCCAGGGTCCTGGGATCGAGCCCTGTATCAGGCTCCCTGCTCCGTGGGAAGCCTGCTTCTCCCTCTCCCACTCCCCCCTGCTTGTGTTCCCTCTCTTGCTGTGTCTCTGTCTGTCAAATAAATAAATAAAATCTTTAAAAAAAAAAGTTGATACTAACCTCAAGGAAAAAGTCAGTGTGTAAGAATTGCTGGAGAAACACTGAAAAAGCACCATCAAACATTAAAATACACTATAAATCTCTATAATTAAAACAATGTAGTACTGGCACACGAATAGGCAAATAGAACAGTAGAGTAGACTAATGCACTTTTTTAAAATTTATTTTTTATTTTTTTTAAAGATTTTATTTATTTATTTGACAGAGAGAGACACAGCGAGAGAGGGAAAACAAGCAGGGGGAGTGAGAGAGGGAGAAGCAGGCTCCCTGCAGTCCCAGGACCCTGGGATCATGACCCGAGCCGAAGGCAGAAGCTTAACGACTGAGCCACCCAGACGCCCCAAGACTAATGCACTTTTTAATAAGTCATGCTGGAACAACTAGGTAGCCTTTGGAAAAAGATAAAATTAGATGTTTCTCACACATATACTCTGAACGTATTAGGGTTCTCAGTGTAAAAAATGAAACCATACAAAGACTAGAAGAAAGCTATCACATTCCTATTTAACCTTTGCATAGGAAAAGTTTCTATGTGTGACCCAGAGGCAATGAAAGAAAACATTAGTAAATTTGACTAAATACAAATAAATTTTTTCATGACAAAAGATAACTGATGAAGTGGGAAAAATTATTTACATTGTATATCACAGTCAAAGGGCTATTATCTCTCATATATTAAAAACTCTTAAAAATTGAAGGATACTTTTGACACAGGACCAGAGCATGGGGACACAGTTTGATCTCAGGGTATCAGGCGCAGGAGACCTTCCTAAAGTAACTTTTGAGAGAGGGCTTTTAGTCATCACCAACCACCCTTGGAACTTCTGAGCCTGCAGCAGCAAATGCAGATTTAAAGGAAAGCACCAGAAGCATTCACAAAGGAAACAGTAATGTTCACTGAGAAACAATCGGCAGATTTGGAATTCTTGTTCAGGAAGAACCCATACCCTGCTCCCCATCGCAGTAAGTTTATTTAGCTCCTCTTTCAAAAAGAAATGGCCTCAAAACTGGAGATACCATCCCGCAGTACTGCAGGTTTGGTTCAAGAACCATAGAGCAAAACTCAAGAAAGCCAAACAACAGCAATTAGCTGGGATGGAAGTTAAGACCAGCTCTTCCAAGAGAAACACAGATGCACCTCCAGCATCCCCTGATGGTGCCTACCCTGCTTCCCTGCTTTATGCAGATCATCCGATACCTTCCTTCCAACTCAGCATATGCTCCAATTTTAAGGCTCTCCCAGACCATTCTGTTGGCTACAAAATAGCCCATTTTGGCTGCTGCCAAGATCCTAACATCTCCCTTTGTCCCACTATAGAATCTCAAATTCTTTTCACGAGCTTCACTGCCAATTCTTTTTGTTCTTCATCTCTCCGCAAAGAACTTAATGAGAGAAGCCAGACACAAAAGATCACACATTGTAATGATTTGCAATGATTCCCATACAAGAGGCAGATATGAGATCTACACAACATGGATGCATTTAAAAAACATGCTCTGTGGGGCACCTGGGTGGCTCAGTTGGTTAAGCGACTGCCTTCGGCTCAGGTCGTGATCCTGGAGTCCCTGGATCAAGTCCCGCATTGGGCTCCCTGCTCAGCGGGGAGTCTGCTTCTCCCTCTGACCCTCCCCCCTCTCATATGTTCTCTCTCAAGTAAATAAGTAAAAATCTTTAAAAAAAAAAAAACATGCTCTGTGAAAGAAAAAAGACACAGAAGTACCCGTGTTGTGGAATTGAGTAGAAAGAGGTGCTAAATAAACTTACTGAGATGGAGATGTTTCATGTTGTAATTCGGATGGCAGTAACCTGCATGTGTAAATTCATCCAAAGACACAGAACTGTAATACTATATTACGTACACCACAAAAAACAATCATGTGACAGGATGAAGGTGTCAGCTAATGCCATCGCGGTAGTCATTCTGCAATATATAAATGTATCATATCAACACATTGTACACCTTACTCTTGCACAATGTTGTGTGACAGCTGTATCTCAGTAAAGCTGGAGAAAATTTTTAAATTGTATCTCAATAAATATATACAATGAGAAAAAGAATTGAGGGACAAAGGATCAGAAATTCAGTAGACAAATAAAATGACATGAATCGAAATTGACAAAGAAAGATATAAAAATGGCCCTCGGGGTGCCTGGGTGGCTCAGTCGGTTTAGTGGCTGCCTTCGGCTCTTGTCATGATCCCAAGGTTCTGGGATCGAGCCTCACATTGGGCTCCTTGCTCAGCAGGAAGCCTGCTTCTTCATCTCCCTCTGCCTGCCGCTCCCCTGTTTGTGCTCTCTCTCTCTCTGTGTCAAATAAATAAATGCAATCTTAAAAAAGAAAAAATGGCCCTCAAACATTAAAAGGTTCAAAGTCTCTCGTAATTGGAGTAATCTAAATTAAAATAATACCTAGATGCCATTTTATACTTATCACAGTGGCAAAAATTTTAAAATATGATAACACATTCTGTTGAGGCTGTGGAGAAACGGACATTTTCATACATTGCTGCTAGGAATGCAAATTTGAGAGAACTGTTCTGGAGGGCAAGTTGGCAATACCTAACAATCTCCACATGCACTTAACCTTTCAAACCAGCATTTCTGCTTCTAGAAATTATCCTGAGGCTATATCTCCAGCAATACAAAAATACATGTAAACAAAGTTACTCATTCCAGCATTATTGTTATTATTTTAAAGTTTATTTATTTATAACCTCTACACCCAACATGGGGCTCAAATTCACAATCCCAAGATCAAGAGTAGCAAGCTCCACTGAGCCAGCCAGATGCCTCACAACATTATTTTTAATTGCAAAATAAAGTAAACAACTTAAGTGCCTATATGTGGGACTTGAACTCTGGTAGATCTACACAGTGGATTATTATGCTGTAGTTAAAAAGAAATAATGAAGATGACCTTTCTGAGATGATATGGAGTAATTTTCTAGGATGTACTGTTAAGTGAGAAAAGCAAACAAAAACAGGTATCTATAATATTTACCTTTCATATAAGCAAAACAGGAATACAAGAAAATACACAAATAAATCCTCATTCATGCAAAAGAAATTCAAGAAGGATAAACCAGAAATCAAAGTGTTGATTTCTTACAGGGGGCAGGTGGGGAAAATGTAGAAAGAGGGGAATGGACAGGTTAGCAGGGATGAGGGGGCAGTCTTCAAGTACATCTTTTTATATATAGGACTGCCTTTCAGAATCCTAGTAATGTGTCATATATTCCTCACATACCCCTATAATAAACCCATTAAAACCAACCAGGATGTGGGTGAAGAAGGAGGTTGAGGGGATATGTGGGCAAAGTGGAATAAAAACAGGGATAAATGCTTAACTGCATTAGAAAAGAGTAATATAATCAAGTTGCAGAGAGTGGGGAAAGAAAAGGACTCATTGAAGTAACTGAGGAAATCAGTATTTTGACTGCATGTCTTGTAAGGCTGAAGACCAAAAGAACTATACATAAATGATATGATTGACATAGTAAGTGTTTCTTACAAAGGAATGGGTTAGTAATTTTGGAACTACTTTAAATGCATACTAGAATTGAACAAATAAATAAATCTGTTGTAGTTGACAGCCAGTTTGTCACTGTTGGGAATGCTAAAGTGAAGCCCTTGAAATTTGATTGGAATCAGAGCTATCAGTATGAATTCATGTTTTTATACACACACACACACACACAGATAGATATGTACAGAAATATAGTTGTCTGTATATGCATAGGTTAGTATGCATATATACTTATTTTCTAGCTCTGTTTGCTGAGAGTGCCTAGAGACAGACCCGGTAACAATGAGGATATCTTGTGCCCAGGTCTTGATTTCTGAACACCTTTTATTCTTTAATAAAAGGAACCAGAGCTCCTTGGATAAGTAGTTTATTCCAGAACTTGGCAGGGAAAAAATACAAGATGAGCCTTAAACATCTTGGAGTGCCAGAAAGTAAGGAAGTGCTTGATGAAAGATGAGTGTGAGGGATTGTCAAAAGAACACAGGAGCAGCCTAAAGGAGCTCCTCATGGTCAAAGTTAGAATAATTGAGCACCAAAATTGATAATGATAATACTGGGGCGCCTGGGTGGCTCAGTTGGTTAAGCATCCTTTCTTGATTTCGGATTAGGTCTTGATGTCAGGGTTTTGAGTTCAAGTCCTGAATTGGCCCCCTGCTGGGCATGGAGCCTACTTTAAAAAAGGGGAAAAAAAAAAGATAATACTGAATTTTAACACATAGATTAAAAGAAATTCCTGAGTCCATACTGTTTTAAATAAATAAGCAAATAGTTAAGGTAGAAGGAACAGCTCTCCCTTGCAATAGAATTCCAGTTAATGAGTGCAGAAGGAAGGAAGGAAGTAGAGAACCATCATTACACAAATACCACAGTGATAATTGTTGCAGACTGGATCCATTCTGATGAAGACTGAAATTAGAGGATAAAGGTTAGAGGAGAAATAATTTGTCAGCATACGTATTAGCACAGAAAGAAAGATAGTAACTTTCGTGATGATAATTGGCAGAATCTACATTACCCAAAAGATCTAAATAGTCACTAGTAATAAAATTTTGACATTGTGAACTTGATGTGATGCATAGAGAATAACACATCATTTCTGTGGTATTCTTGCCAGAATGCATAATGTCATTCCAATCATGAGAAAATACCAGAAAATCACAAATTTTGGGACATTCTACAGAGTAACTGATTGGTGCCTTTCAAAAGTGTTGAGGACATGAGAGAAAGATTGAAGAAATGTAACATACAGGAAGAGACTAAGGAGAAAAGCAACTAAATACAGGGGATCCTGTTACAGGATGCTGGAACAGGAAGAGAATTTTAGTGGAAAAAGTGTTGACATTCAAATAAGACTTGTAATTTAATTAATATTTTACCAGTGTTATTTTCCTTTCTTAGTAATTGTATTCTAGTTATATAAGATGCTAAAACTAGGGAAAGCAGCAGGAGGGATGTAAGGAAACTCTGTATGATTTTTTGCAACTTTTCTGTAAGTCTAAATTAGTTCAAAACACAAGAAGTTTTAAAATGATATGGCAAGAATAATGCAAGGAACTGCCATGTAACTTTTATTCATATTTAGCAATTGTTTGCTTCCTTTGCTTTTGTTATATAAATGCATACTTTTTTTCTTCCCCATTTTGAGGGTTAGTTTGACACTTTGTACTGAACTTCTTTGTAATAGTTCAATGTGTGTTTCTTAAGAAAAAGGACATTTTCTCATAGAACAACAGTGCAGTTGTAAAAATTATTATCTGGTCCACAGACCATATTCAGATTTCTCATCAGTTATCTCTATAATGTCCTTTATAGGGCTTTTTTTAAAAATTCAATCCAGGATCCAGTCTAGGACTCCGTGTTTCATTTAGTTGTCACATCTCTTTAATCTCTTTTAAATCTGACACAGTGTTCTTTCATGACATTTTTATTTTTTAATAGTATACCCTGATATTTTGTACACTGTTTCTGAATTTGAGTTCATGAGATTCTTAGATTTGGGTTACGCATTTCGGGCAGGATTACCAACGAAGTGATGTATCCTTCTTGGTATGACATATTAGGAGGCACATGACACATCCGTCCCAGTATGATGATATTAGCTTTGATCCCTTGGTGTGTTTGGTGCTTCTCTACTGTACAATGACTGTTTTTGTCCCCATGCCAATTAGTAAGTATTTTTGGAGGGAAAGTTTAGATAGGAACATTCTTGATGGGAGATGTTATGGGGAAACCCTCTTTGTACCTGGTGAAGAGGATTCAAAATGATGCCCTTGTGGGCACCTGGCTGGCTCATTGTGTAGAGCACATGACTCTTAATCTCAGGATTGTGCGTTCAAGCTTCACATTGGGTGTAGAGATTAAAAAATAAATAAAAATATTTTTTTTTAATGATGCACTTCTGATGATCAGGAATTCAATAGAAATATTTGAGGTCTTTTTTTTTTTTTAAGATTTTATTTATTTATTTGACAGAGAGAGACACAGCGAGAGAGGGAACACAAGCGGGGGAGTGGGAGAGGGAGAAGCAGGCTTCCCACCGAGCAGGGAGCCCTATGCGGGGCTCGATCCTAGGACCCTGGGATCATGACCCGAGACAAAGGCAGATGTCTAACGACTAAGCCACCCAGGCGCCCCAATATTTGAGATTCTTGTCTTTAAAGTGGCAATAGCTGCTTAAGCATTAGTACAAGGAAGTTTTTTTATAAAAGGTCTAAAAATTCCCATAAGCAGTCTGAGGTGGGAATTTTATAGAAATGGCGTTTGGGCTGTCTGTAACTTCACACCCACTGTTTCTTCAGATTTAGGGGGTTGAGTTCTTTAACAGTCAGAGAGTCACTCAGCTGTGCCTATGCTGTGTCTTCTCCCATGTCAAGTGGATCATTAGGGGAAATCAGGTTTCTTTATTGAGGTTTTTGTTTTAACTGAATTGGAAGACAAAATAAGCAGCTTGTGACTGGTTTGTTGGCTGCTGAATCATCTTGTGTTAGGTCTGCCTTGGAATTTTTTGTTTGAGAAGATGAAGCTTAAGTGTTGGCAGAAATTAATAGTAGCAGAAGGTTTGTCCTGGTTGGAGGACAGAATCACAGATTGGGAGGCTAGTTTACCTCTCCTAACAATTTCTGTGTGTGAGTGACTACTTTCTCAGCTTCTTTGCAGATTGGCTCTGGAAAGCAGTGTGTTTTAGCCAGGATGGTGTATGTTGGGTATGGTGTTATATTTTCCTAGTCCACTTCAAGCCTTAAATCTAGCTTAAATTCTTTCCAGAAGGGTGCAGAAGACTCTATTTAAGGCAGCCACAGGACTAGCTTATTCTTCTTAATACTGCTTTAGTAGCTTTGGGTGTGTTTCTGAGTTGGTGAGTTTCGATGACTTTATTTTTTTTAACCTTTGAGGAGTTGAATAAAAGACATTGTCAGTCTACATAATCTTATTTCAAAAGGACTCCTAAATGAAATAATTGTTTTTAAAATATTTTAGGCCAACAAGCAGAAAGCTTCAGCTCGTAACCTGTTTCTCACCAATAGCCGAAAGGTAAATTATAGTTTTGTATTTCCCATTTTATGTTATGCTGGAACATATTTACATTTGCTGCTCTTGTCTCTTGTGACCTGTTGATAATGAATCTAGTAATACCTAAGAGAATTTCTAGATGTTCTCCATTTATTTTATTTTATTTATTTTTTAAATTTTATTTTATTATGTTATGTTAGTCATCATACATTACATCATTAGTTTTTGGTGTAGTGTTCCATGATTCATTGTTTGCGTATAACACCCAGTGCTCCATTCAATACATGCCCTCCTTAATACCCATCACCGGGCTAACCCATCCCCCTCCCCCCAAAACCCTCAGTTTGTTTCTCAGAGTCCATAGTCTCTCATCACCATTTATTTTAAAAATAAAATCCTCTTCCTTACATTTCTGATATTTGAACCTTTTTGGATGAGACCATAGTGTGCTCTGATTCCTTAGGCAGATCATAGAAGCTTCCTGTGCTCAGTCTCTTTAAGAAATGATAATGTTAATATCAATACCTTCCTTTAGAGGAAAGTAGCACAACTTCTTTGAAAGCTGTGAGATCAGATGAGGTAATGTTTTTAGTTCTATTTCCCTGGGCTGGTCACTCATCTTTGGTTTCCTCATCTGTAAAATGAGGATGTTGGTACTCCCAACTTCATAGAGGTTTTGTGAAGAATAAGTTAGTTTAATATATGTTAGGCTTAGAGTGGAGCCTAGCATTAATGACTATCACCATTAATATGTGTGATAATACTTTGTAACTTCCCAGCACATCTCAGATCATTATGCGTTTTTTTCCCATCTTCTAAGGCAGTATGTGTATAGATTTCTCATTCCATGTATTACCTCAGGGTCTGGGTCTGGGTCACAGTACTGTGCATGGACATTAATCACGTTGGGGGAGAAAGAGATGTGGCCATAGGAAGACTGTGTGCACTGAACAGACTGAGGAATGCTGTGGTGTAGAGCTCAGGGAGAACTGGCCCTGGTGTTGGGTCTTCTCCTTTGTGAGCCTGTTGTTGTCATCTGCAGCTTGCCCACCAGTGCATGAAGGAGGTGCGTCGAGCTGCCTTGCAGGCCCAAAAGAACTGTAAGGAGACCTTGCCTCGTGCCCGCCGCCTCACCAAGGAGATGCTTCTGTACTGGAAGAAGTATGAGAAGGTGGAGAAGGAACATCGCAAGCGTGCAGAGAAGGAGGCCTTGGAGCAGCGGAAGTTGGATGAGGAAATGCGGGAGGTAAGACAGTAGTATAAAATTTTGAAACCCTGATTGCTGCAGCCATATCCGTAGGTTGGTGTGTACTGCACAAATAACAAATTAATCAATGAAATCATTGAAAAAGGGTTTTAGACATAAGTTTGAGGATAGTAACTTTAGTCCGATAAACCGATTCTGTTTTTATCCTTTCAGTTAGGCCCTCTCTCTGGCCTTCACCTCTCTTTTTCTATGCCAAGTTTTTCTGTTCTTTGTAGCCTTATTCCTCTGTATATTTCTGGAGGACTAAAAAAAGGAAAAAGAAGAGGGATGAACGAAAGAAAAAGAAAACCACTTACAGCTTATTTTGGCTTGGTTCCAGGTACTGGCTGCAGTTTCTTCCTTGTTGGAAGAGCAGGGCTGGCTGCCAAATTTAGGGCCAGATAGGAACAATAGACAACTAGTCCAGTTTTGAGACCCATTCCCCACCTGCTTCACTGGTTTAACTTTCAGCCAGTACTCTTCTAAGCTTGATGTCAGCTGCTGTAGGTGAATAGATTGTTCAGGGAAGCAAGAGGAGAGAGTGGGAGAACAAAATTATTGTGTTGCCATGGGCAAACCAGGTGGGATGTGTGGAAGGAAAGTTGAGGTCTGGAGGAAGGGAATCAGAGGATTGGTTAAGGTTTTCTTTCAGGTCTGGGTAATACTCTGTCAGAGCAGAGCTGTGGCTGTTTCTGAGCTCTTGATCTTCCGTCCTTTTTCATGCCTTTGAGGTTGAATATGGATTTTGCCCAGTTCTCTTAAGTCCCCTGGGTAATGTTTATCTTCACATGCAAGATGAACATATTAGTGTGTTAGGAAGCATCTGATGCTATCCGGAATACTTACTGAATTTAGAGGCATTTGAGAGTTGGTCACAGATCCTGAAGTTTTGCAAGCAGCCTGATTTATAGTCTAGGTTTGTTACTCATTCTCTCAATTTTGTTGATAGTTAACCAATGAGTTTCCTTCATGGTTATGTTTATTTTTCTCCGATCTTTTGAAATAAAACTATTTGTGATGAAACTTTATTGTTCTTTTAATTGACCTCATTCATTTGAACACGTAGTAGTTGACTTTTTTAAGGTTAAAGGAGATACTACTTTTTTGTTTTAATTTGGAAAGGTTTTCTTGATAATACATTAGCTTTGCTAACATAGTAAGCATAAACACCTGTATCCATTATGAAAAATAACTCCATTTTCTGTTAAACCGTGTTTCAGATTTTCTTCTCATTTGAATCTGGCTCAAGTACTGTAAAATCTTAAAGAGAGAGCATAGTTTTATGTAGCATACTTTAGGACTGGTCTCCTTTCTTGGCTAACTTCCTTGTTATGTTTTTATTTTTCATTTGGGGAGGTATTGGATCAAGGATAAATCAGCTGTACCTCATATGAGTTTTATTATAAAATAGTTAATGCAAAGCAGTGGCTAAGTATGTGTGTGTGTGTACTTGATCAGTATACAGATCAACTATACACTGTTTTTAGGAGCGTTTTCTTCCTTTGATTGGCTTCTCCTACATTGACTTTCAGAATAATTCATAGCTCCTAGTCACTTATTTTGACTTTCGGTGATGAAGAAGATCTTTTCACATGTTTACATAAGATATAAGTAAAGGCTATTCTGTGCTTTTAGTACCACTGACTTGGTTATAATAAAATTGTGCATTAGCAATTAACTACCTTTCTAAAGGTAAAGAATTTGTAAAAGAATTATATGCAAAGTATATATAGATTTGGTGAATTCTGTTGATCACCAAATCAACAGAATTGATGTGATGTGATTGATGATTTGACTGTTTAGTGAAAATAACTTTCTTCTCCTTTAGGCCAAGAGGCAACAGCGAAAACTGAACTTCTTAATCACCCAAACAGAGTTGTATGCCCATTTCATGAGTCGCAAACGAGACATGGGTCATGATGGAATTCAGGAAGAAATCCTAAGGAAACTGGAAGACAGTTCTACCCAAAGACAAATTGACATTGGTGGAGGGGTGGTAGTTAACATTACACAGGAGGATTATGGTGAGTCCTGAATCAAGACGTAGAGGAAGTGGGTACCCTCCATTTTTTTATATCTAAGGTTATACACGTGATTAGTTCTTGTAAGTTTTGTCTTGATCGGTAGGTAATGATTAGTAAAGGGGAATTTATTGCACTAGAGTAGGGAAAGTATGAATAAAACAAACATACAAAATAACTTTTATTAAAGAATTTGAAAAGGAAAGGGTGTGTTTATATGATCTTGTAAATTTGGGAATATTTTATATGTTTTGATTTGTTAGTAGAAATGGAGGATATTATATCAGAAGAATTCAGTGAACTGTCTTAGCAGAGAAAATCATCTGTCACATAACAAGATTCTTGGTGATGCAAGGCAGGCATGAGAAAGAGACTGTTCAGTTGTGGTATTTTTTTTTTTTTTTAAGAGATTTTATTTATTTGAGAGAGAGAGAGCATGGGTGGAGGAAGAGAGAGAAGGACAAGCAGACTCCCTGCTCAAGTCTCAGAGGACTCTGAGATCACGACCTGAGCCACCCAGGCGCCCCTCAGTTATGGCCTTTTTGTGACCATAAAGGGAGGGAGGAATTGGGGTGAAATTTGAGGGGAATTTCATAGAGAATAGTGATCAAGATCCCGTTGAGCTCAGAATAAAAAGAATGAGTATGCTTGCAAGGATCTTGGGGTTTACACATGTCTGGATTTCTTCTTTGGGAATAGTTTCACCCAGCAGAAATCTATCACAATTTTGAAAACCCACTGTTTTGCTTTGCTTTGCTTTGTCATTGCTTTGTGCAAGAAACCGAGGATTGGGCAATGAGCGTAGTCTCCTGGTGGTTTCTCTGAGCTGGCTTCGGCTACTGGAGACCATGGCAACCCTCTGCGTTCATAGCCACTTCTGGGTCCTTACCTCTGTCATGTAATTTGAACCTTTCTGCTCTCTCACTCTCTGTGAGCTTAGGGATGAGTAAATTGGGGGACTTAGGGATTGACAATGTTGGTGTGAATTGCATCTTTGAAGGAGATCAGTTAATGACGTGTGATAATCTCCAAGTTTTCCTTTTCAGATAGTAACCATTTCAAAGCCCAGGCCCTGAAGAATGCTGAAAATGCTTACCATATTCATCAAGCTCGGGTGAGTCTTAAAATGAAAAGAAACTGTAAGGGGCTCCGGAAATACCCTACAACCTTTCACTCGGGTGGTCTTCCTTTAGTCTTACTCATTTTTCAATTAAAAGCATTGGCAGATGTGTATATATGTGACTGTGTTGGGTGCAGGCTGTGGCTCTATTTAGAACAGTAGGCATAATGGAGAAAGCGTGGAAAATGAGCATTCACTTGTCTAAGCTTTAGGAGTGTGTTGATTGAAGCTAGGACAGTTGACCTGTTTTTTTTTTGTCGTCTTGAGTAATCATGGGCAATATAGTGTGAAATGCATCATGATTGTTTAGTGGAAAAGACCACAGTGGTGCTTGTTAAGAGAGCTATATCATTGCCTTAAGAATAGTGCTATGTTAGGACCTTTTTTTCACCTTAGTAATAACTTGCTAATTCTTGATATAGTGATATTTCATGAAATCAGAAGAAAATTGCAGTTAGATTAAATTAAGTAAAGTAAGTAAAGAATATACTGCATAGGAACCCCATGTAACAGCATCCAAGTCAGGATAAACTTGACCTTCTCCCCACCAACCCCAGCCAAACAAATTTTATATCAGATTTTTAACACATTCCTTGATGAAGCAAGTAGTCATGTAATATGGTTTATAATAATGTAATATGTGTGCTCATCAAAAGCATATTCTTAATATAATCGTTAAATTAATTTTTAAATATTAGTAATATTTCATATATTGTGGGTTTTGTTTTGTTTTTTATTTGAGAGAGAGAGAGAACATGAGCAGGAGGAGAGGCAGAGGGAGGAACAGGCTCCTGGCTGAGCAGGGAGCGCAGGGCAGAGCTCAATCCCAGGACCCTGAGATCATGACCTAGCTCAAGGCAGCCGCTTAACCAACTGAGCCACCCAGGCGCCCCTCATATATTGTGCTTTATACATAATACATTACATAATATTATCAGAAATTTTGTTCCAGTTACCACAAAGTAGATACACTGTCATTATGAGCTTTATTTGAATTTCATTTTTTACCTCATACTTTTCTTCTAATGTTTTTATTTTCCAGACAAGGTCATTTGATGAAGATGCGAAAGAAAGTCGAGCAGCTGCCCTTCGGGCAGCAAACAAGTCTGGCACTGGGTTTGGGGAGAGTTACAGCCTGGCAAACCCATCTATCCGGGCTGGGGAAGATATTCCACAGCCTACAATTTTTAATGGCAAATTAAAAGGCTATCAGCTGAAAGGCATGAATTGGTTGGCAAATCTCTATGAACAGGTGAATTTTAGAACTATGCCATACCCACTCTCTTTCGTTATGTGTTTTCCTAAAATCATTGGTTCAGTGTATTGTGAAATGAGCACAAGACAATGTTTTAAATTTCATCCCTTTGAAATGCTTTATCCTCTGACAAGAGTCAAAAAGATGTTTTTATATTTTTAACCTGAAATTTTATTGGAGAATATTTGTATCACGTACATAGGGTGGTCTTGGTAAACATGATTGGTTTTTTGCCTGGATTAAATTTGCTGAGAAACTAGCCTCAGATACCATGATTCATAGTTGTAGCTATGGAGTTGGCAAAAGGAATCATTGCAGCAGTGGGTAATAGTGCTGAAATGGTATTTCTAGTCACTTTTGTTTAAATAAGTCTTGACAGTTTGATTAGTTCTTTGGGACAGTAGGTTGAATCCTGTGTGATGGAATGTGAGAGGTTATTGACTATGTGTATTTTTTTTTTCCAGGGCATTAATGGCATTCTTGCAGATGAAATGGGCCTTGGTAAAACAGTGCAGAGTATTGCCCTCCTGGCCCATTTGGCTGAGGTGGGTAGATGCAGTCTTTCTATGTTTCGCACTCTAGATTCTGGGGTGAGAATCAGCCATTATCTAGCACTGTGCTGGGCTTTGGAGCATATGAGGACAGTAGGACTTAACTCCTTGCCTTCAAGATCATTACAGCGTGACACAGTGTGATGAAGCATTTTGGTTTGCGAGACTAGGATAGTTACTGAGAATGTGTGGTTTGACATATTGCCCCCTGTCCCCTGTCCAGAGCCATTCATACAGTGGCAAAGACATTGTAGTTAGTTAGACCAGAAGACCCAGGTTCACATCTGAACTCTATGTTGACTATAAGCAATGTAAACTTGGGCAATTCATCTGATCTCTTTTGCTCTGACTTCACTTTAATTCTCTGAGGGTTAGTTTCTACTTCTGCAGAGTGGGGATAATATCTACTTTGTAGGAATTCTGTGAGAATTAAATGAGAAAAATATATGTAGAAGCATTTTGAAAAAAGCAAAAGCTCCAAAATCGTTATGATCATCTTGTATAAGGGAAAGCAATACTTAAAGTCAGGATATTGTAAGTGCTTTGTGAATGATAGAAATTAGGACCTATAGGTGGTGGGGGTGGGAGTAATTGCTTGGTATTTTGTCTCAAGGTTTTTCTGAGCAAATTCCTTGCCTGTGTTATTATTAACATAGGATATTATTACTGAGTATGGAGATGTGGGAGCTAGGCACCATTTCTCTTAATTATAATGTATTATTTATTCTTAAACTGCGCTCATTATTGATTATAATTTTGAACTAAATATCTTCAGTTTTCCTTCAGTTAGCTGACCCAGTTTTTGTCTTTCAGCGAGAGAACATCTGGGGACCTTTCTTAATAATTTCACCTGCTTCTACACTTAACAATTGGCACCAGGAATTTACTAGATTTGTTCCTAAATTTAAGGTAAAAATCAATCCAACAAAAATTTTTGTTGCTCTTTAAAATAAACTTCCTGATTTTTCTTTTGCCGCCTGCCTTATTCAGTTGCTCTAAGAGTTTTGAATTTCTTGCATTTTTCCCAAGATACTTGAATTACATTCCCTTTAAAAGTTACTGATGGGTGGGGTGCTTGGGTGGCTCAGTCAGTTAGGCGTCCAGCTCTTGATTTTGGCTCGGGTCATAATCTCAGGGTCCTGGGCTCCATGCTCAGCAAGGAGTGTGCTTGAGATTCTCCCTCTCCCTTCACCCCTCCCTCTGCACGTGCACATGCTTTCTCTCTCTCTCTCTCTCATCCACGTGCATGGTCTCTCGCTAAAATAAATATTTATCTTTTAAAAAAAAGTTACTGGGGGGAGGCCTGGGTGGCTCAGTCGGTTAAGCTCTGCCTTCGGCTCAGGTCATGACCCCAGGGTCCTGGGATCGAGTCCCACATTGGGCTCCTTGCTCAGCAGGGAGCCTGCTTCTCCCTCTGCCTGCTGCTCCCCTTGCTTGTGCTCTCTCTGACAAATAAATAAACAAAACCTTTTAATAAAAAAAAAAAAATGTTACTGGGTGCCTGGACGGCTCAATTGGTTAAACATCTGCTTTCGGCTCAGGTCATGATCCTGGGGTCTTGGGATTGAGCCCCGTGTCAGGCTCCCTGCTTAGCAGGGAGCCTTCTTCTCCCTCTCCCTTTGCTATTCCCTCTGCTACTCCCCCTGTTTGTGTTCTCTCTCTCTCTCTTTCTCTCGAATAAATACATAAAATCTTAAAAAAAAATAGAAAAAGTTACTGATGGGAGCAATAAGAGAGCATATTACATCCTTATGTTTCATAAGTAAGAAAGCCAAAGTCCAATTTGAATGATTTGCTGCATTAGCCACATGGATTGATATTCTTGGTCAAACTGCCATAGTAGAAAATACCTACGTTATTGGCTTACCAGAGATTTTGGCAAATCGTATCATCACGGCACATATCACATAATTTATGGCATTGTTGTCCCCCCCATATTCATAAATAATTCATTTTCATGATACTCTAAAGTCAGATCTTTAGTCCTAGTCCAGATTATGTCTAAGGTAGATAATAAGAAAGTTGATTTTAACTAATACAGAGGAAAAGAAGTGAGATTGAGGACAGGGAAGTATGTTGCACTAGGTTGGGTAGGATGTGGATAAGATTTATTAAATAGGGTTTAATTGTGGAAAGTTATTGGGATGTAAAAAAGAATGGGTAGGATTTATTATATTGCAAGTAAAAATGGTGAAATCAGTTAAATATGTGTTCTGTCCCTAAGGTAATATAATGATGTTGAAGTTGCACGGTGAGGAGGATTTTAGGGAGATTCTTTATCAAGTTATTGTTATGGTCTTCCTGATTTGGGGTCTCCATAATACATGGGTTCCATGCAGTTTAAAGGGCACAGGATAGGGTGGAGGTGGAGTCAGATGTTTTCTTGCTTATGTTTTGTAAGGAATAAGGACACATCTGAGATATTCCATTTTGGGATACCTTTGTGGCTGTGGCCCCACCATGTGGCTGAATTGTAGATTTAGAAATGGTTTACAAGGCACATTAAGTGTATAGCTTTTAACTTTACAGACTCATTTTTAAATTTCTAAGATGAGATTCTAAGGCAATTTGTTGAATATTTTCTCTAGAATTCTTTGCCAGTTGGAATATGGAGCTGCCATATTTTTTCTGCATTCATTCATTCATTCATTTTTGCTTTCGTTTCCAGTACATGTTGAGCAATTAGGAAGTTGAAAAATTAAGTCTTAAAATTTTCCACCGAGCCACTTGAGTTTTCGGTATTAACTTCACTGACCATTAGATGGCAATGTAGTACTGTTTATGTCATTGATACCTCTCCTTTGATTTTGTGCCCGCGCCTGGAATTGAGTGCTCATTTGTATGTTGAGCTTACTTTTGTTATTCTAGGGGGTCAGTAAAAATGGCCTGTGGGCATATTCCAGTTGCCATGTTCATTTGTCCTGTTTTGTTTAAATTGTAATAAAATACACGTACATAGGGAAAGCACCTGGCTGGCTCAGTCAGTAGAGCATCCAACTAGATTTCAGGGTCCTGAGTTCAAGCCCCACATTGGGTGTAGAGATTACTTTTAAAAAATAAAAATAAAAAAACCCACACACATACAAAAAATGTCTAAAATGTCACATTTAAAGTGTATAATTTACTAGTATTAAGTACATTTCCAGTGTGGTGCAATGATTGATGCTGTCTGGTTGCAGAATTTTTTCATCATCCCAAACAGAAACCTCTTCCCCATTAAGCAGTCGCTTCTTACTCAATCCCTTTCCCTCCAGCCCCTGGCTACCACAAGTCTACTTCTCTGGATTCGCTTATTCTGGGTATTTCATCTAACTGGAATCATATAATAGGCGGCCTTTTATGTATGACTTTTCACATAGCATAACATTTTCATGTTTCAGCATGTCAGCATGTCATTCCTTTTTATGACTGAATAATATTTAATTATCTGGACACGCTATATTTTGTTTATCCATTTATCTCTCAGCGGTATTTGGGTTGTTTCCACCTTTTGGCTATTGTTAATAGTACTGTTAACAAACATTCATTTCATGTACAGGTTATCATTTGAACACCCGTCCTGTTTTCATTTCCATTCTTTTCGTATGTACTTCGGAGTAGAATTGCTAAGTCATTCTGTATTTAACTCATTGAGGAATCTGCCACCTGTTTTTTTGTACAGCTTGCAAACTAAAAATAGTTTTCATGTTTTTAAACTGTTGATTTAAAAAGTAATACAACAAATGGTATATGAAATTTAAATGCATATATGTTGAAAGACAACCACACTCTTCTGTTTAAGTGTTATTTATGGTTGCATTCTCACTACAACAGCTGAGTTGAGTAGTTGTGACAGAGATCATATTGCCTGCAAAGCTGAAAATATTTATCATTTGCTTGTTTACAGAAAAGGTTTGATGACCTCTGCTCTATTGATTTATTGTTCCTATTGCCGTTACTCCTTTAGATTGTCAGAAATGTGTTCACTTCCCTGCAGAACGTAGTTAAATGTAGACTCTGCTTAGATTGATAGTTAGTGTGCATTCAAAAGATATTTAGATCTATGATGATAACATCTGAAAGTTCATTTTATTTGGCAGGTATCTGAGTAACATTTGTTTTATGATTCTAGTATGACCAGTGTCTCTGACTTCCTCTTTTTTCCCAAGAAATATGGTTTATATTTTTTCTGTAGTTAATGTTCCATTTTCATTCCTGAAATTGGCTATTTTATGTGTTTTCTATTTCATTCATTTCTGCTCTGTCTTTTGTTATTATTATCTACTTTTTGTGCACTTTTTCTAACATCTCAGGATGGAGCTTAGATTGTTGATTTTCAGCTTTTTCCAGTAAGTGTATTTAAGGGTATTAATTGCTTTCTACGCATGACTATAGCCATCCAAAGGTTTGATGTGCCACATTTGCATTATTCTTTAATTCAAAATAATTTCTAGCTTCTATTTCAAGTTTCTATTTGATTCATGGCTTATTTAAGAGTGGTTCTTGGGGCACCTGCTCAGCGGGGAGCCTGCTTCTCTGTCTGCCTGCCCCTCCCCTTGCTTGTGCACACCCGCGCTCTCTGTCAAGTGAATAAATAAAATCTTTAATAAAAAAAAAAAAGAGTGGTTCTTGAGGCGCCTGGCTGGCTCAGTCGGTAGACTATGTGACTCTTGATCTCTACGTTGTGAGTTCAAGCCCCACATTGGTGTGGGGCCTACTTAAATAAATTAGTGTAGTTCTTAATTTCCAAACAGAGGATGATTTTCTAGGTATCTTGTTAACTAATTTACAGCTTAAATCTACTGTGATAGGAAAACAGGCTTTTTATGATTTTAATCCTTTGAAATTTTTTGAACTTTTCTTTTATGGTCCACCATATAAATGTCTTGTATCTCTTTGCAGATATTAGGTATTATGCAGTTGTTGAGTGCAGCGTTGTATATATGTTGATTAGGTCAGGTGTATTTCAGCCCTTCTGTATCTTTACTGATTTTTTTGTCTGCCTGTCCAAATACTAATTGAAAGAAGTATGTTAAAATTTACCACAGGGGTGCCTGGGTGGCTCATTCCGTAAGCGTCTGGCTTTGGCTGGGGTCATGATCTCAATCTGCTTGTCCCTCTGCCCCTGCCTCTGCCCCTCCCCCTGCTTGTGCACTCTCTGTCTCTCTCTCAAGTAAATAAATAAAAATTTTTAAAAATTACCGCAATTAAGGATTTATCCATTTCTGTTTTCTTCTGTCCATTTTGCTTTATATTTTGAGGCTGTGAGTTGTATACAAATTTACAGTTATTTTTACCTTCCTGATAAACCTTTTATTATGAAATTCCTCTCATTAAGGCTTTTGCCTAATGCCTGTTTTCTCTAGCATTAAATAGACTAGCTTTCTTCTGGTTTTTATGTGGTATCTTTTTCTTTTACGTTTAACCATTCTGTTTACATTTAAGGTTTTTTCTTGCCTTTGTTTGTAATTCTATTTATTTTTATTTTTTAAAGACTTTATTTATTTGACCGAGAGAGATCACAAGTAGGCAGGCAGGCAGGCAGAGGGAGAGGGAGAAGCAGGCTCCCCGATGAGCAGGGAGCCTCGTGGGGGGCTCGGATCCCAGGACACTGGGATCATGACCTGAGCCGAAGGCAGATGCTCAACCAACTGAGCCACCCAGGCGCCCCATAATTATGCTGATTTTTAATGTAGTTATTGATAACATGGATTTTAAATCTGCCTTGCTGTTTGTTTTCTACTTCTTTCCTTCTACTTCTGTAACTTTCCTTTTTGTCCTTTCTTGTGTCCTGTGGATTGATTAGATTTTACTACTCTTTTTCATTCCTTCTTAGCTTGCTAATTATATATTCATTTTACTCTTTAGTAGATACCCAGGAGAATACCCAAGAGTCAAGGAACATGCATCCTTGACTTTTTAAAAAGTATAATATAAATTAATACTGTTACTGCTTTCATACAAAGGCTTTAGTATACTTCTTTTTTTTCTTAGAGTGTAGAGAGAGCCCGTGAGTGGGATGGGGTGGAGGCAGAGGAAGAGGGAGAGAGAATCCTAAGCAGGCTCCACAGCCCTGAGATCATGACTTGAGCCCAAATCAGAGTTGGACTCTTAACTAGTTGAGCCACCCAGGGGCCAGTATACTTTAACTACATTCGTCTTCTGAAGACTTACGTGCTGCTGCTGCTGTTGTTTTAAAGATTTTATTTATTTATTTGAGAGAGAGAGACTTGCTGTTGTTTTTGTATATATTTTCTCTTCTAAGCCCCACAGAGTGTTATTTTTATCTATACATTTTAAATTTATTTACATACATTAATATTACCTATTCACTGTTTTCATTGATCTTCATTTCTTCCTGTATATTTATACTTCACTGTGAGTGAGATTTTTCAAAACAACAAAAAACATCAAGCTACAGATCCAGGAAGCACTTTGAAAGAAAATGACACCTAGAGATGCACAGAAAAAGTGCTGAATTTTACATTCTTTTGTTTCGTCTAAATATTTCCTTTTGACCTATCATCTGTTTCACTAATTTTCTTTTAAATTTTTCTTTTCTCTTTTTTTTTTAAGATTTTAAAATTTTTATTTAACACAGAGAGAGATAGCAAGAGAGGAAACACAGCAGGGGGAGAGAGAGAGGGAGAAGCAGGCCTCCTGCTGAGCAGGGAGCCTCATGTGGGGCTTGATCCCAGAACCCTAGGATCATGACCTGAGCTGAAGGCAGACTGTTAACGACTGAGCCACCCAGATGCCCCATGTTTTACTGCTTTTCTCTAAGCTGCATCTAACCTGTCATTAAACCCATGATTGAATTCTCAGTTTTAAAAGTTTTTGTATTTTCAGTTCTAAAGAACTCCCTTTGGTACTTTATAGTTTCTAGTACACCACTGAAATTCCCAAGCTTATCTTTTAATTTCAGGAACAAATTAGCATCTTCTTAAAAAGTCTGTTTCGGGGGGCGCCTGGTTGGCTCAGTCGGTTAAGCGTCTGCCTTCGGCTCGGGTCATGATCCCAGGGTCCTGGGAT